TTTTGAGAGTATCAACTTGTTCATCACCTTTCCAAGATTCTTTTGTTTGTTGTTTGTGTGTAAGTATGGGTTGGGCTTTCCCTGCTTCTGTGTGGGGGGGTTGGTTTTGACAAATTGTTAAAAGCGTGCTTCATGCTATGGAGTGCCTTGAAACTATCTCTGTCTCAGCTGGGAGGATGTCTTGGTACTGAAGCAATACTGAACTATCACTAGTTATTTTCATTTTGTTTATCAGATTATTTTTTTCCTCAGTAACCTGATAGGATGGAGTATCTTGTGTTAAGGTTTCCACTGTTTCTGACAGATTTAATGTTCAGGCAAGTGGAAAAAGTGGTGGAATAGAAAAGGAGGGCAGGAGGAGGGTTTAAGTGTCTTGCTAACTTGCAATCTGATCAGGTTTGGACTTTCTGAGAGCTTCTGGACTTGGTCTGTGGCTGAGATACTGATTCTGTCAGCAGTAAAGCATTTCCTGCAACCCCTCTCCCAGGGGTCTCTGCCTGTGAAGATTTGTGACTGTCAGAGGCTGAGTTGCCTTTGGAAATGTCCCTATGTTGTCCTTCCCTCCACTGTCCTGCTACCATCCTGCTTCTGGGGAGACCCTTGAGGACAGGACACCAGGAACAAGCTATGGAAGCCAGGGGTGTAGGCTAAGCACTTCATCTGTTGTGCTCTGAGAGTTTTATTTTTCTAAGCCTCATCAAGTATGAAAATTATTTGTTCTAAAATAGTTGAATAGAAAACCCTTTCTCCTCCCCACCCCCTTAGTTTTTCCTCTTGTCTTGTACTGAATGCACAGACAACTATTTTAGGCTCAGAAGGAAAAAAATTGACATATTTTTCTAGTAATTCCCTTGATAGATGTGTGGTTTTGTCCACAGCTGAAACACTGAAGAGCTCTCTGAAATCTTCATCTGTGTTTTAGTACATCTAACCAGGGGTTTGGGCTATTGTTTATTGTATTGTTTCAATTGGAAAAATACAGTTTTTATTCTTGGCAGGGAGCTAAGCTTCATGAAACTCTAACCTCAAGTTTTCTTAACAAGATTAGATACTTTAAAGCACTCTGGAATACACGTGAAAAATACCAGGTTTAAGAGTGATTTAAACTACTTGTTAAAGCCACTAAAACTCCACAAATTAGAACATATACAGAAATAACATTTTCCCACTGTGCTAATGTGATCTGAATTCTTGTAGTTTGAATGTCTTGTCATATTTTTGCTTTTTCTGCAAATATTTCAACTTTGTGCAGAAGGCTTCGTAACAGTCCTTCTATTACCTCTAGGTAACTTTCAATGAAAACAGATTACCAATGCCTCTTTCCATCAGCATTTGGAGCCCAAGTGCATTTGAGTTTGTATCCATTGGTAATTACAGCTAGTAATCAGAAATCTTAAATAAAACCCTAGAAAGATCATTAATGATTAACTTTGGAAATGGAGTTGCTTACACAGGGATAAAACTAGTGTACAGAAGTGAAGTTAAATTACAAATATGTAAAATGCAAGTCCTGGATTTAGACTCCATTCTACTTCTGGAACTGCAGTTTGAAAACCAGACAGAACGGCTCTGAAGAGGCCTGTCTCTATCCCTGCTACTGACAATTGTACCTTATCCCACTTATGCTGTGTAGAGCTAAGGGAAATTGAGTAGCTTTTGACAGGGATGCAGGAAAACAGCTATCTTCCTCTTCTGGCAGGAATATGGAAGTAGAATTAATGCTACTAAAATGCATTGTTCAGGTGGGAAGTATTACAGAAGCTTTTGCTTTGTTAAGGGATAAAATTAGAACTATCCTAAATCAGTTTGGCCAAGTCTTTGTCAACGAATAAAGAACAACTATATAAGTGGTATTGTAATTGGATACTTCAGAACCGGGAAAGAAAAAAGACTGATTTCTTTTTAGTGGAGAATTATCCCCATTAGAAGGAAATAAAACTGAGGGAGACCCTTCAAGAGGCAGGAAAATGCACTCTAAATACTACAGATCAAAACCTCACTTGCATCAAAACCTGCTTGTACTAACAAGGCATTACAAGCCACATCCTCTTTCTTTGCACATCAAATCATAACTCTCTTCTCAGTGTTTAAATGGTGCTGTACTGTAGGTAGGTCCTGTTTTCTGTATGAGGATGGACTCTGTGTTTGTAGCAGTTATAACAAGGCTATTTGCTTCAGTAGATCAGCTCCTGATTTCTCACAGAGATAAGGATCTGAATGAAGGCATTGGTGGTCTGTGCTGTGGCTTCTTCCCCTGCTAGTAATTTGCAGTGTGACTTTTGCATAAATTAAACAGGGAGGGGAGAATTATGTTTTACCAGGAAACTGTGCTAACTGTGTCCACTTTAGAAAGGCAGCAGAAGAGAGCTGCAAGTACAATATAACTGCTTACAGAGCAGAGAATAATAATCCTAATCCCCTTGTTCAAACATGTTTAAAATGCTCGTCTAATACTTCTATTATCACAGTGATATTTAACATAAAACTGCTGTTTATAAATGAGTATATGACTGTGTATCCTGGGATTGAGGTAGTTCTGGCATTACTTTCACTAGAGCTATTTACCAGGTTTTTGTCTGTGCATGGGGGGTTGTGACCGTACCATGTACAGTTACATATATCACCTTTTTAAAATGCCATATAAGTAGATATAAAACTTGTAAAGACATGTACTTTGTCAAATATTCTTTAATCTTTCTGTGCACTGTTTTCACAAATGATGCAAGGTTGGGAAAAGATGGGAAAAGGCATATATCTGTAACTGGGCCAAAGAAAACACATTTATTTGGGTTCAGGTTATATGCAGAGCCATGGAAATAAGAAAAAAACTGTATTAATATCATGGGGTTGCTCATACTGTGCCTGTGCATGAGACCACATTACGTCAAGTAAACCTTGTAATACTAAGGCAAGTCATGGGAAATGTTCGGATAGAAATCCCAGTCAATCCCAGTCCTACGTTACCACTGACAAAAGGGCATTGCATTTATGGAAGAAAGCAAGAAACAAATCAAATAAAGCCTGAGAAGCAGAATGTTTTCATAGTGATGTTTAGTATGAAGTACTATCAACACTTTCTCAGGCCAGTTTTTCAACCTTTTTATTTTTTTTTCTCTTTACAGTGGATGGAACTGAGGTTTAACACACTAGCAAAATGCCCACACTGCAAAAAAATGTAAGTTATCTGAAAGCAAGGTTACATAAATTAACTGTTAAATGAGTTGCCAGAGTTTCTTTCGTAAAGTCTGGGGAGTAAAATGTTTGCCATGCTGATTATTTTGCCGTGCTCATCTGAATTTTGTGACTAAAGAGCATGTTATGTGCACATGAATTCTCCACTCTTTATGCACAAATCAGTAACACTGAGAAATCCAACCTGCATTTATTAAAATGCTCTGATTGAATTGCTAGAGCCATAAATAAGCTGCTAATAATAGACAGGAACGAGTTATTAAAAGTAACAACTTAGATCCTTGAAATTTTACTACTTCATACAGTTAATCAGATGTCATGCTTAAATGCGGAACTTGAATTGCCTTATTGTAAAAGGAGGAAATGAAATAATTTTGTCTTAATTTGAAAGAGGTTTTATTGATTTCATAAACTCAACAACTAACTTGTGTTAAGTATCTCGATGCATTAGTTTGTTTAATGTTTATGAATTACTGTGGAATAACTTGTCTACTCACATGCTATTTCTTCAGTAAGGAGGAGAAAAATTAGAATACAAGAGCTGAAGAGTGTTTTTATGTTTTGGGTGGGTTTTTTTTTTTTTTTTTTTTTTTTTTTTTTGAGTGTTTGGGTTTTCTTATCTGAGGTCATTTAGTTTGAATTGTTAAAAGCTACACAACTAACATGCTCTAAATTTGTATGGGTATGAAATAAGACTTAAAAATATTCCTTCAGAGACTTTCTTGTCCTGCTGATTTATTTAAATAAATTGAATTAAATATTTGTCTTCCTTTGATAGGCAAGTGTGAATTCCAGTTAAGGGAACAAATGTGTTTTCCACTGGGAATAGAGAACTACAGTTGTGTTGCGTGTTGTAGAAAAACCTGCAGGTCCCTTAGGAGGCAGGAGGCTTAGGATAAATGTACTATAGGTGTTGGTATGGCATGGTCTTCCAACAGTGGTTGAAGTCTTTTACTGGAGTATTCGACAGAGAAGTCAGCCTACAAGGATGTTTAACTTGAGGAGTGTAACCCATCAGGTGTGGAGTAGTGGGTGTGTTGTAGTTTGTTTAGGTCAAAAAGCTCATGGTCTTGATGAGATGTTGCTTTGCAGGGGTGTTCTTACTGACTGTAATTGCATTCAGTCCTGGGGGGAGGGGTTGGTGTTTTGTGGTTTGTTTATAAACTAATTGCAACTTTGTTTTGTATTTTACCATGTCACACTTGATAGTTGACCTTAGCGTTTTTTCTTGACTCTCCCTAGGAACAAAATCATTTTCTGTTTAATGTTTTTAAAACTAAAAAATAAATCAACAAAACCCAAACAAACAGAAACCCAGTCCAAACAGCAGCAAAAAAAACAACCCAACTCTGCAAGGATCAGTCCAAAAGTCATACCGTGTGATCTTTAGGTCTGTCTTCTGTTGATTTGTTGCTTGTATTTTTAAATCCAGCTGGAGTCTAAGGATTCCTTAGTATCTCTGTCTGGAAGGTGCAAAGCAGCTATCTGTGTGTTATAAAACCAGAGCATCTCTGCAGTGCAGTTTGTGAAAACTGCAGCTTGCCTGGCACTGAATTGTGGAATACAAAACAAACGTTAACAAATAGGCATTTCTGTCCTTGGCCTGAGGATGTAAACTGTGGAATATTGTAATTTAGCTTTGAACGAGTTGCTTGATACCTTCCCACGATTGAGATGTGATGGTCAAGAGTTTTGCACTTCCAGCAGTGTGTTTCTAATGCATGGATTTAGGACACAGTATAGGTGAGGCAGAGCTTTGAGTCATGATGATGGAATAAATAACTGCTGTGACCTGCTGCTTTCTATCATCTCTTTGACAGAGGTCGTCATACCTGTAGCCAAGTAGTCAGAAGGGAATGTGGGGTTCTTTATTTCAGCTTATTAATGCAAAACTTCTTTCATTAGTAGCTGACTAGTCAGATGCAAAACTATTAATTCCTTCTGTTGACTCAGATGATGATCGTCACTGAAAAAAGGATAATGTAGACTAAGACAAAAGGCACCAGAGGATACTACCTGGGAATGGGGGAGAAACTTTCTTTTTACTCTGTGATCTTTTGTATATCAAAATACAAAATACCAAACGTTTATCAGCCTGTTTCTCAAAAGACTGAGAGGTTTAAGAAAGGCTTCTGGTATTTCTCTCATGTAATGATGGAGAAGCAGCAGTAACTTTTTTGTCCGCTGCTCTCTTTCCCAAGGTGTATGTTAGATCATCTAGAAATATCAAGATCCTGAATTCAGTTACTAGCAAGAGAATTTAATAGTACAAGGTTTTGTTTCAGAATGTCAAATCTCCCTATTTTTTTTCTTTTTCCTTTAGAACCTACTTATTTTTCTCTTTAAGGTTTGACAACATGATGAACCCTAATGAATCTGTAACACTTTTACCCCATAAAGTCTGCAAGACCTTTAGGAAAAAAAAGGGTGTAAGAACCCCATCACTACTGTGGAAACTAGTTTCGGCAGTGCTGTTCACCTTCAAAATACTGGCATTTTGATCTTCCTCTTAAAAACCCTTCTAAACGCATGTCTGAAATCTGGCAATAATTCCTATTATTTGAAACGCAAGTGACCCTGCATTCTTTCCTGTGCTACTCCTTTAATAGCTTCTGTCACTTGTGGCAGTTTTCACCTCTTTTAATTACTACTTAACGCTAAATTGGCTTTGCTGTCTTTTGTATCTGCTGCCACTGCCCAAGGGTCTGGCAGGTAAGTGCCTTTGCTTCCTTAGCAGCAGCTGGGGAAGAGTGAACCGCTGGCTTCTGGCTGGCTTTATAGGGAGTTCACCCTCAGTAGTCCCCCAGTGGAAACAGTTGCTTTTGCAATTTGAACATGTTCTTTTGACCCCGGTTTTTGTATTTCCGATCGTGCCCGTCGAAGTTGCTGCAGTTGCTAGGGTTGGGGTTAGAGCTTCAGCTTTCTTGATTCCAAGTTAGTTTGGGTGGTTTATATGTAATTTGGGGTGCATAGAGGGAAACCTCACTATTTAGAGTGTCCCACTGGCAAATATCACTGTCAGGAGATGAAAAATAAACTATGGTTTATTTGGATTGCTAAATATGCCCAGGTCTGTTATGTGACTGTAGAAACTAATATATGTCTTTCATCTGTGCTTTCTGTGAGAAGAGAAAGGCACTTAAGTTAAGATACTCTTTAAGATTTCAATTGTTTGGGGTTTTTTTTCTGCTTTTGAGGTGATAGTTTCTCCCCTGGCCTTTTTTACTGTATAGGAGGGGACAGAGAAACATGGGTAGAAAATACAGAAGGCTGTTAAAAATACATGCACAGTTCAAAACAGAGCCATAAGTCAGACAGCTCTGAAAGTGAAGGCCTCTTCTCCAAAGTGAACTTTGTATCCGTGTGAAATACACAGTGCAGTGAACATCATGTGTAATCTAAGTGTATTGAACCTGGCATTTTTACCAGCTTATCTTAAGGTATCCAGCTCTGTAATAGAATTAGTTGTCTGAGTACACAGCCAGGAAATCTGCAAGGGAGGGAGCCTGAGGTCAGTTTGGCAAGCTCAGTGCTCATCAGTTCAGCTTTGGGAGAAGTCTTCTCCCTGTCTACTTTTACAAGACTTGTTTGCTTGGGTTTTTTTTTCCTTGTGAAAGTTGGAATCAGACAACATCTCTCTTCTAGAATGGCTGTAGAAGTATTTAGGGTGGCTTTTGGGAGGTGGGGGTAGGGAAGGATCTGTGTGTGAGAGGGTAGTAAGATACCATTATTTCTCCAATTGCGAATTCTCCCACCTTAATCACACCCCCAGTCTCATCCCAAACGTGCATGGTGAGGCTTTCAGTAAGAATTAATTTTCCAAGAGAAATTAATGAGCAGAAGAGTTTCAGAATTTTTCCTCTTCTGAAAACATGTGGTAGATGGCTTGTGAGTGGTCCCTGTATTCAACCCTTGCCGTGCAGGCTCAGTATGTAAAGCTTGAGGACTGTGGGTTTGTGCTTTTTTGTCTTTTTTTTTTTTTTTTTTTTTTTTTTTTTTTTTTTTGTGTTTTTTTTATTCCTTGTAAGGAAATAATATTGGAGTAAAGCTGCTTAAACCAATCTATTTGAAGCCTTTCTAAGATGAATGCTTAAAAAATTCTAGTCACATGCTAAGCATATGAGGCCTTACTACTGCTAATTAACTGGAGCCAGAAATTTGGTCAGTCATATGACAGATGTACTACTTCGATAGCTCAGCAGTGTTTTCTATGTTATGCATTCATCTTGAATATGTTGAACTATCATGAGATGAAAATTACTTTCCCTTGCATGTTTGAACACAGAGTATAAGCATCCCAGTGTTTCCAAAGGCATGTTGATCTCTTGGAATGGAAGGAAGTACTTAACTAATGATAGCATGCTTCAGGATGCTTCCAAAACTATCTCATAAGGTAGATGGTACATGTCTTATGAAAGCATCTCTGCCTCTCTAGTCCTTTCAGTGGACCTACACGTTCACTGTATTTCAATGGAATTAAATCATATTCCTATTTTCCTCATTAGTAGAGCTGTATGTGATTGCAGATGAGTTACTCAAGATGTATTTGCTAAACAATGCTGAGCTTCTGGAATAATTTTTCTAACTTGTAGTAAAGAATGAAATGTCTTTGTTGCATTTTATATTCCATTTGACTGAAACACTGTAATTGTTAGCTTAACAGAGCAGATAGAGACAAAGCTAGCTGTCTTGGAGTTCATAGTCTAGATGATGAGTGACAGAACTTCCAGGGGGTTTATTTACCTTGGTTGTCAGCAGTGATTTGTGCTGCTCAGGTAACTTGTGGTAGAATCCTAAAAGAAAATTGGAAAGTAAAATGAACTTACCATGGCTTTGAAGTTACTAAAACATGTCTAAAGGATTTCAGTCTTTGGAAATGTTGAACGTGAAAAATTTTCTGTTTGTGACTAAATGTTTGGGGGTTTTTATCTTTAAGAAATAGGATAGAGTTAGGCACTCAACAGTATTGAGTCAAATATTGCAGGAAATAGTAGTGCAGGTTGTTACTGTCCATGACATTTAGGGGTGCTATAAGTTATTTCCAGTTACTTGGATGCAATGACTGTATTAAAGCTATGTATTAAAAGCCTAAAGGGTGTATTGCAACCTACATAGAAGCTACAAAGCAAACTTGCGTTTTGCAATTCTAAAAGCTCCACCATACTTGTCTGGGTGCAGTGCAGACATAGCGGGTAGGTGCACTAAAACTGTAGGTGTGGCACCTCTCTGTTGTAAGCAGCTAGATTTTCAGATACTAGATAATCTTCACCAGTAGGTTTCCTTTAAAACAAATATGTGGACTCTGTCCTTTACTGCTTGGTGAAACTGTAGACTTTGCCTACAACTTTATAAACTTAAGATGGTATATGTGTATTCCCATTCTGTTTCCTTCCCTGCATTTAGACTGAACAGTTACTATTTATGTAAGGGGTTGTGTTTGTGGTTTGTTTTTTCTTTTAAAATACTGTTTATTTTCTAACAGTTCTTCTGTTGGAAGTGCACTGCCACGGAGGCGCTGCTGTGCGTATATTACAATTGGAATGATATGCATCTTCATTGGAGTTGGATTAACTGTGAGTCGTGTACTATGATATACTTGCAACTGTGTGCGGGGTGTGTGGGTAGAAAGGAGCACTGTGGTTGCCAAGCTCTTCTTTCCCCAGCATTTGAGTAAAACCTCCTAAGTTTGTGTGCGTTTTGTCATCTCTGTTAAAACCATGGACTTAATCATCTGAGTTGGCCAGAAAAGTTAAGTGTTCCTAAAAAAAAATACTCTGGCACTTTGAGGGTCTCTTCTTCCCAATGTTAAATTTGACTTTTCATCTCTCTAAAAACTTCAGTTTTATGAAAAATGGTTTTACTTCACTGTAGAAATACTGGAACATCTTGCTCTTGCTATGGCTCTCAAAACTTCCAGGTTTCCAGAAATACATGTTGCTGGGAATAGGATTCCAGAAGTTAACCATGTATATGCCTTTATAATTTGTACATGCCCTAAGAAGTAAAACCAGCTAATAAGCTATTTACAAATGGAAAGGCTCACATTGTTGTCACCCTGTTAGTCACAAAACTGTCTGGCTTGCTTGGCTCTGAATATCTGACACTGGTTGCTTGAGCCAGCTTTCTACCCAGAAGCCCCAGGAAAATACAGATGAGGAAATACCTGCAGTTTAGTTTATATATGTGACTCTCATTATATCTCTAACTTGTATTATAACCTGAATATTTTTTTGTGTGAGCTTCAATGAGTTATGAAGGATTTTTCAGTTTCCCTAATAAAAACAGTGACAGCCAGAAATAAAACCAGTGAGAGATCTTTTCTTAACAATTTTACTGAGTTTGAAAATGTGAAAACATTTCTCCGTGAGGTTTGCCCAGAGGCTTGTATAGCCTGCATACTTGTTTTTTGGGGGGACCCAGCTGGGTTAAAGCCCTGAGCAATGTGGTGTCTGACCTTAGACTTGGCCCTGCTCTGATCTGGAAGCTGGCACTAGAGACCACCTGATGTCCCTTCCAAGTTCAATTATCTTATGATTGTGTAAAATTAAGTTAATAAAATATCTTATTATCCTTATGATTGTTAAAAAGGTGCTAGAGTGCTTCTCAATATAATTTTCTCTTTCCTGAAGAGCAGGTAGTGCTGCTATTTGACACTATTGTTTTCTCTTTCTAGGTTGGTACACAAGATTTTGCCAGGCGGTATCATGCAACATATGTTTCTTGGGCTATTGCTTATCTCTTAGGTTTAATCTGCCTCATCCGAGCCTGCTACTGGGGAGCCATTAAAGTCAGTTATCCAGAACATAGTTTTGCATAGAGAAATTTAGATTATAGCAGATGAACATCTAGTAATTCTGGATATTTCATCTTGGACACTTTTAAAACCTTCCCTGTAAGGATTCCATTCTGTTCAAAGTAGTTTTAAGACTGGGGGTCTCTAAGAACAAATGTTCATTGCACTACATAATATGCAAATAGTTTGTTTTGCTGCTAGATTCCCTAGCTCTGAATACTAAAGCTGTGTTTACATGTTCATAACTCTGTCTTTATAGGTGTTGAATTTTATTTTGACAGACAGTATTAAGTTTTACATTTCCTTTGTTATGTTAAAATCCGTCTGCCATTTTTCTAGATGATCAGTAAGAATTCAAAAGCAAGAGTGTTTATAAGTGTTTCTACAGTAGCTTCACATTTGTACTTAACATTTTAACTAAAATTATATCAAAGTGGCTTGCTTTAAGACCTAAGCAATAAGCATTTTGCTTGAACTGCTTACTGTATCTTTTGCCTAAGATCATAGTGACCTTATTCAGGAAATGAAAGTTTTGAGTGTACTTTAAAAGACTGACACTGTTGCTAGAGAGACATTTGTAAACACTGTATGCTTCAAGATTTTTCAGGTAGAAAGATGCTATTTTGGTAGTCCAATTAAATTTCCATTTATCCAGGATTGGATTGCAGTTAGGATAAAAGCTTTCTTCTCAAGGATCCTGGGATGTAGGTGTTCGGTTTTGGTTTGGTTTTTTTTTTTATTAACTAGCAAATCCTAAAAGCCAAGCTGGGATTATGGAACTTAACTCTGGTTGTTTGTACAAGTTCCTTAACAGGGTCTAAGGGAAGCATTTCATATGACTTTCATAATACTTCAGTGTCACACAGGTGACAATCAGATGGTGATGGGTTGCCTCTTACTTTCCTCTGATCATGTCAGAATTTCCCTGTTTGGGAGACTTAAGCGCTGGTCACTGCAAAGGGAGACACTGTAAATTCACATTAACTGCTGTAATAAAAAAATGAGCAAACTATAACTTGGACCATTCCATCAAAGTACATCTAGTCAATTTAGCACTGACTTGCAAAGAGAATACGGAAACAGGAATTCTTTTCTAATGATGTATTCACAAGGATTGAGGGACCAGTTCTTGCACTGCCCATCTTATAGTTTAAACAAGTTTTTGCTAAATTCGGAAGGAATGTCCTGAGTGATTTAGACGACTGTAGTGATTTAGATAATGGGGTCAGATGGGTAAATTAATGTGGATGTTTCAGGGATACATGTAATTTAAATTATCTGTTCCTGCTAGGACAAAATGATATTCAGATAAGGATTTTGGAGCACAATAAATGTAAATGATCAAACTGTAAATGATCTGTCTTTGTATGATGCTAAATGTATAAAAGCAGTAGCTCAGGATTACAATGTACCTTTTACAAATAAACTAATAAAGAAATAAAGATTATTATTCAAACTTAAAATATTTTGTCATTTATATGTAAAGAAAAATACACAAGTAGAAGAATTTCCTGGTATGAGCAATGAAGGCATTATGCAGCAGAGGTGAGCTCTGCATTTTTGCCAAATGGCAGCCACAGGAATATAAGATGGCAAGAACAAATTGATGATGTTTTGGGAAGAATGAGGAAGTAAATAAGGGATGAGACTACTGTTGGGATTGTTTTGTTCAGTCAATGGCTTATTGAGGGGAATATGGTAATATACTCTGTTCTTTTCCTAGTTCTGTTTACATCCTTTCACTGTAGGGATTTGCTGTGCTCATCTGCATCTTAAACATTTGAATACTCTTTCCAGGTGTCTTGTATTTCAAAATGCTGCCTGCCCTCCACATCCCAAAATAAAGTAGGCTGCAGCTGTACAGAAAATCATCTACTGCTTTTGAGGGCAGGGGGAGCCTGGGTGTAATGTTATGTTAATGAATCAAAGGAATTGGCACTTCTCCCTCTCCCCCCAATTAAGCTGTACTTTATTTCCTATCTTGTGTTTTCTCCTTTTCCTTCTCAATTTTTGAGCAGAAGGGAACATACATGGACAAAGTATTTCTGTTTGGATAATAGTACAATAGTTGCTACTGCTTCCTTTTGCAAAGTGAAATGTAGTTATTTCTATAAAATGGCATTTATTGTGTTGTTACATTTCAAACATTTTGGGGTACATAAGAACCATATTTTTTCAGTGTAAGAAAATTAATGGTATAATCTGAAGGGCCTCTCTAAGAGACTCAAATAGATGTGGCTACTTCTAGAACAGGCTTGGTGGCAGAGTCATGATCTGTGCTGAACTACATCTCAATCTGTTAAACTTTTCTAAAGTCAGTTAAAAGCAATAAAATAATCCTGTCCTGTGCATACTGGCCTTTTTACTGAACTAATTTCTTCCATTGACTTTTAATAGTCTATTCCTCAATGTATTATTTTTGTGTTAGAGGTAGATTGGAATTCACGGTGAAGGGCTTCTGTGCTTTCACGTTTTATCTTCCTCCTTCCCTACTCTCCTTCCACTCCTTCACGTGGAAGAATTTTTATACAAACTGAGTGTTGTTGTCTAGGAAACACTTTAGACCTTAAACTGAAGGGGGAGGGGTTTGTTTGGTTTTTTGTTTGTTTGTTTAATTAGAAACCTACTGCTGGGTGGGTGTGTTACTGCTTTTGTTCATACCATCACGTGCTGATCTGTTGTCTTTTAAAAACAAGGACTAGAGGGTAGTGTTTCTGAAAATTAGATTATCAGGAGATCTTTGTCATGAGTAGCATGTTGAAAGAAGCTTGAGGTTTCAAATCAGCCTGATAAGCAATTCACCATGAAGTGAGAAGATACCATCTTGGAGAAGATACTGAAGCAACCGTCAAGCCATTAGTGGTTATTGCTGAGAAGTGGATGATGAGCAATATTTGCTTTTTCCTAGTCTTTCATATGGTCTATGTCTTTACAAACAGAGGGAAAGCTGGGGAAGGCTAGAAAATCAAGGGCTAGAAAATCCCTGTGACTAAGGACTTGGAAAAATAAATAGGTGAGTAGCAGCAGAGATGGTTTGTCATGTTAGATAATCTAATTCCCTTTTCTGACAGAAATTCTGCACTGAATGCAGTATGCTCTCTAAAAATGTGTGAAATGTTCTTCCAAGCAAGCTTGAGAAACACATTGGTAAAATTATTCAAAGATAGTGATTATCAAATTGGGAGGATATGGCAAATACGTGCCAACTATTTGGAAATACTTAATATTTTTATAAAGTTAGTGTGCTCATGTATTTCACTCCTAGATGATAGAAACTGAGAGCAAGCTGAATTACCCATGCTGTTTTCTTACTTATTTTCCTTCTGATCTGTGATTCTGATTTACAATGCTGGGGAATGAGCTTTTCCTTTCAAAAAACCTGAAGTGGAGAAATAGATCAGTGTTGGAGAAATTACTATCAGTTGCAACAGAAAATTCTAGTAACATTTTTTATAATGTGTAATGTTCAAAAGCTGGACTCTATCCCTATTTCTCAGCCTTCTAGTTGTGTCCATCCGTATATTGTGGCTCAGCAGCAGAGCTGTACCGCAGGGGAGTGTGAGTGACTGCACTGTACACCCATCACTGGGGGAGGTGGAGAGAGTCTGCTTGAAAATAAAAGTGGCTACTTCATCCAGATTTCTTTCAGTGATTTTATTGGTATAGCTGATGAGCAGCAGATTGCATGAAGGTGAAGGAAGAAGAGGCTGGATGTCGTAAAAGAGATGGGGGAGAGGAACTTGGTGCCATTTAAGTTATTTGCAAGATTTAGTTATAGTTATTTGATCCAACAAGAAAAGAATATCCAGGCTCAGTTTCCTACAGCTTTCACCACAAAAGGGCTTTTATTTTTGAACAATAAAGCTACTTGTTAGCCTGATTAGCCAGCAACTCTTCATATTACACTTCACTGGAATCTGGAGAAATCTACCAGCGACGTGTCCCTGTTTTACTTTCTTTGCGTTTATACTCATCTGTAGGCATTCACTGTTGGCTGCTTTTGGGAAGAAAAAAGGACATCAATGCTCAATGGATTTTTATGGTTCCTTTTTAACAGTTACGAGGAAGAAGTGTGTTCAGTAAATCTTGTCAACAAAAGTAACAGCTATGACAGAGTATGGATTGGAAATTGCTGATCCAGGTGACAAGTTGTGTGTCTTAGTAAAACGATTATCAAATGGGTTTAAGAACACTTGTAAATAATGGCTAACAAATAAAACTGGATGATATGCATGGGGTCAAGAGGACAGTTGCATATTATGGTTTTATCTAATAAGAGTGTATCTGGTAATGGAGAAACAACAATTTATGTCAACATAGATTTAATACTAGCTTTTTTGCTAGTTTTATAATGACATGGTTACCATTCCAGCTTATTAAAACTTAAGTGTGTTGCTTAATGTTTAAAAAAAATTGGGGGAGGGACAAAGAGACTGAGGTTAGAAAAACACCTCCAAGGCCACACTGCTTATTTTTCTTGCAATATTTTTTAGGGAAAATGATGCGGCTGATATGAATTTCAAGACTGATTTGAGTTATACTGTGTGAGAAAGAAGTTGCCAGCAGGCTTATGGGGCGAGGCGGGATGACACACAGCATATTACCTTCACAGAAAGATCAGACTGAATTTCCGGTATTTCCAAAGCAACATCTTTAAACTTTCACTGTTACTTAATGAACTCTCTCACGCATGTGCATCTTCCTTGTTGTACCTTCAAATCATTAAAAAAACTAGCATTGTTGCCTAGATGGGAAAGAAGCAGAGAATTTGATTTTTAGATTATTTACCTCCAAAATGGCTATGTAGGATTACTGGAGTATTTTGGGTCCTCCTTATTTTTGTAATGTAATTATCATCTTTTTCTGCAGATATTTTTGGGTTTATATCTGTAACTGATACTACTGTGTGTACTATTTACCATTTTCTCAGAGAAAACTTGAAATACTTTGAATTCTTGCTATTTAAGGGATACCCTTACAACACACTGCACATAGTTTCTAACCATTTCAGAGAGATAAAACAC